CCGCGAGGGACGCTCCGATCGGGGAGCATCGTCTCCGGGCGGTGGCACCGTGGGGGAGGAGTGGAGTGATTTACAGGAGGAATATTTAAGTAAAGTAGCTGCAAGGAGACAGTCGTGGCGAGGGCCACCAAAGCGGGTGCTTACTTTGTAGCCTTCGGTCTGTACCTCACAGCCTATGATCACATCGTATTTGCTTTCAGGAAGTCCCTACCTTGTTCACGGCACATACACAGACAAATGCAGGCAGATTATATAGTCTCCAAGGGGTTACAGCAGTCCTTCAGTTGTGTCATAAGCTAACTGTGAATATGGGAAGAATCAATTAACAGCTGAGCTGTCTCTGATGAACCTCCAACTTGACTTGATTGCATTAGTTCTTTTTGAGGTAATACGTCATCCAGTAAGACAGCCAAGCTGTTTTAAAATTTGGTATTATATACATCAGATATACCTAGGTTAGAAAACGGCATATCATCACTGAAGGAGAAGTCTGGGCGTAATGTGTTCAGACCCATGACTGTGGTATAAGTGCAAAAATAGTGTAGTGAGAATTTAACTTTACCGTTTGTGTCACTTCAAACAAATTGATTCATACTCCTTATTGTACAGAACCCTGTCACTTGTTTTCTTGTAAAATTATCATGTCACAACTGAGCTTGGAAAACGTCACAGAAATTAACTCTTCAGATGAGTGGCATGCATAGCAAAAGGCAGTTCAGTTTTGTAGTTTTAGTATGATTTTTTTCTAGACTGCTGCTCTACTAAGTATAGAGGCATTTTAAAATGAAAGGGCACAGGTGTGTGCAGGTCCTCCGTCACTCTGTGTTCATACCGTTCCTGTGATTGCTGTGATGATAATGTGAAAACTCCACTGCAAATGGGCACATTAGTTGCACAATTCTTGTGTTCAAACGTAGGATGAGTGCAGTTTCACTTGCGCTTCCACTCAGTGTGCACCAGCTTGTTTTGCAGGACTGCGGAGCAGACTGTGCTAAGTTCCAGAAGAGCGAACTGGAGTACAAATTCAACAAGAAAGCCTTAGAAAGGCCCTATACCTCTAAACACTCCTGGGGAAAGACCTATGGGGAGCACAAGCGCCACTTGGAGTTTAGTCATGACCAATATAAAGAGCTCAAAAAATATGCAGAAGAGATTGGCATTTTCTTCACAGCTTCTGGCATGGATGAGGTATGTAAGCCATACTGGAATAACAGGCAGAGTCCAGCTGTTGTGTCTATTGGTTATTACTTAGGCACAATAGTTCTTACATAAAAAGAATATTAAATATGTGTGGATGTTGAATTTCTAAATGAGAAAACTAGAGTAATTGTACTTCTGCCTATTCACTTGTGTCTCTACTATGGTTGAGTAGATGGCTGAACGTTTTGGAAGACCTGCCATGTATGCTGAGGTATTCATGCACAGTAAATCATACTAGAGACAAGGCCTCAGCTGAACTCCATAAACAATCAAGACTTTGGGAGTTTAGATGAAGACTGCAATCTGACTGCTATCTGGTGTTGACTGGCATATTGGCTCCAAGCATTTGAAACATCCCTCTTGTATTTAAACCAGATTCCTTTCTCAACTTAATCCCTATTATTTTCCTCTTTTTTTCCTTTCTGCTGTTTATTAGACCCCAGCTGGTATTTCTAAGCAGCAGAAATACTTATATTCCTTTTTCTTTTACAAATGTCGTGGAGAGGGTCTCCACCTTGCCCTGTTACTCCTGAAGCATTTACTGATTTTTGTCAGTGGGCTCTTGAACAGTCAGTCACCAGCTTGTAAACTCCATGAAGCTCATCTGCTGCTGTTCCCCCTTAAGTGATGTACGCTCCTTTAACTCTTGCATGTTGCCTACCTCAAAATGATGTATTACAGTATTAACAAATGCAATGTACAATTGAAAAGTGTAAACTCAAAAGATCACATAACAGTTAAACCTCAATATAGATCAGAGATTACAGATTGTTTTACTTTTCTTTGTGGCCAAGAAGATATAGAGAACCAAACTGAAAGAGACCCTCCAGAAGTAAGCTAGCCATTCTTGCACAAGGCAAGCACAGCAATGTCCCTGTCTTTCTGCAAGTAGCCTTATCCAGGATGGGACAAGGGTAGGATTTATGTAATGTTTTAAGGTGATCTGTTCAGTGCCTCACTCTCCTTACCGTCAGAGAGAATTCCTGATGTATCAGCTTAATCTTCTTTCTCATAATTTTTTGTCCTGGCTCATCCAACATAAAAGTTCACACTTCTCTGTGTATTTGAAAACCATTATTACATCTCTCTTCTGTTTTGTATTCTCTAGACTAAGCAATTTCAATTCCTTCAATCTTTTTATGCTGTCTTTTCTAGTCCTCTGGCCATTCTCTCTGCTTCTATCAACTTACTGTTCTGTTGACCAAAATCCTTGAATTGCTGTGCCCTAGCTGAGATGGCACAAGCACCAAATACCATAAAAAATTACTTCAGATGTCTGACAGACAAAAAGGTGTTTTGCCTGTATTGCAATAGCCCGATGCTATGGACCCAGAAATAGATCTGTGAAAAGGGCGTTGTGATGTTTCTTTTATTGTTATGTTCATGTCTAGGAGACCTTTTGAACAACACCTATTCCTTTAAGAAAAGAGTAATTAAATCCAGTAGTCTTGGACTTCTATATCTGGGATCTTAAAGACCCATATGCCCTTGGGGGAAAAAAAAAATCCAATCCTTTCCTTGATGTTAAAACCAGTGCAGAACACATTTCATATGCAGCAGCTAAGATCACTTTCCACCTCTGGGATCCCTCTTTTTTCTCAAGATGCTGTGCTCCTTTGTGTGTGGCCTCATCAGCTAATTAACAGTACTGATACATGTTTGTGCCTTCTTTTTTGAACAGTAATTGCATTACACAGCTCCCAAGATTTCTGGTGGCATTTCTGCAAGACGTGTTTGGAACTTAGGACAAACATTGCATAAATTGACGTAATAAGTCCTTGAGAATACATTAACTTCTGTAAATTGAACATAATCTCTGGAACTCCAGCCATGTTGAAGAGGTTAAATTGTGTGCTTAACTATATGAGGAAATCAATGAAATGATGTGTGAAGTAAATATAAAGGCTATGAGTAATTCCTTTATCTATTCTGTTCCAGTGTGTACTGGAGACAAAACAACCCCATTGAACCACTCCCTTTAATGTCATCCCTATTATTTGAGATGACTTCCTGTTCATTGAATTTCTTACAGAAAAGCTGCCCATTTTCAAGAGATATTTACCTAATGAAGAGTGGCCTTAGATATGAGATCTATCTGTCATATTTCATTTTGTTCAATCTCCTCAGATTACATCTGTGGCTTTTTAATACAGTGTATTTGTTGTCTTCATGCACAATGCATCTTAGTGAATAAACTATATTAAAGAGATGGTATGCATCCTAGGTACAAGAAATTGAATCTGTATCATAATCATGATAGAAAAAATAGTCTGAAGAAGATGTGATTCTCTTTTGGACATAAGCACTCTGGCACTAAGTAAATTTGACTGCAACAAGGAATGAGCTAAAGAAATCAAAAGTGTTTGTGGGTGGTTGAAGAGGGACAAAGTTAAGTAACTATTTCATTGTTTCCCCTGGATGTGAATGGAGGATTTCAATATCTCTTGCCTGTGATATGTTTGGGATTTTCTTCCTTAAAAGTACTAATTTTTAAAAGGCTACTTACTGATGCAATACTGATTTTCATGGAGCCTCCAATAATTCCTGAATTGTCTTCAATATAGCACACACATTTTTAGAAGGTGGCAGAGTATAATTAATATTTGAATAACTTTATAGTCTTTTCTTTGGCATATTTTGTATTTATTTTCCACTATCTCTCCTCGAAGCAAATCCATTTTGGATTTCTCTTTTTCAGCACTTACTTTTTTTCAGGTGCTTTTTCAATATACTCCTACAATTTTTCAGAGTGACAGATCTATTCAGGAAAATTACCTGTAGTTTTAAACACTCTGTTTGTGGTTTAGTATTTCTGACCTGCAGAAAGGAATGCTGTTGCCCACAAACTCATCTTGGAGTCAGAGGAGCAGTAGAGTGCACCTGTACTAAGCAGCTGTACCTACAGCTGGCTTGACCAGCTATGGCTGGGACACCAAAGAAACTGCCTTGAGACAGGGATCCCAGTCAAAAACCTGTGGAAATTCTGTTTTTGTAATAGAAGTATAAAAGAAGGCACCTCAGTAATACTTCACTTGGTGGGAAGTCAGAAACTAGTATCCTCCGGAATAGTAAGTGTTATTACAGGAGTAGTGTATTTTGGGGGGATATGACCTATTTAATTAAGCTTTGGCTTTGCTATTTTGAAGGGTTGTTTATTTTCCAGCATAGTAGTTCTTTATCTTTGATCCACCTGAAGTGGTGTATTAAAATACAGTGATTTTTTTTCCTTGTAGATGGCTGTGGAATTTCTACATGAACTGGACGTTCCATTTTTCAAAGTAGGATCAGGAGATACAAACAATTTTCCATATTTGGAAAAGACTGCAAAGAAAGGTAAGCATTTTCTTTTGAGCCGTCTTGGTAAACATCACCGTGTCTCAGTAGATCAGTTATTAGATCTTTACTCCAGTTGATTTTGGAAAAAAATCTAAAGTACTGTTAGAAGAAAATCAGCCTCAGACTTGGGAAAAAAAAAGGTTCACCCAGCTTCCTTTTCTACTGAATGCATTTACTTCAGGAATTTAATTTAATCTTGTGTAGCTTTCGTACAGACCTAGGACAAAACCTGTGCATGTTTTCTAATGGCTAGGCCGCCCAATGGTGATTTCCAGCGGGATGCAGTCGATGAACACAATGCATCAGGTTTATCAGATTGTGAAGCCCATCAATCCAAACTTCTGCTTCCTGCAATGCACCAGTGCGTACCCGCTTCAGCCAGAGGATGTCAATCTCCGTGTTATATCGGTTAGTGGATAACCCAGAGTGTGCTATGAGTAGGGTACCAGAGAAGGGCTATGCACTTTTATTGAGCTATATTTCCAGATCTTAGGCATGCTGGAATTTGCTTCTGAGAAGTTAGAAGATGTATCATGTTCCTCTAATTCATGCAAGTGTTGAAGTAAAAATACCTATCATATCCTCTTTTAGCAGAACTCAGCTTTGAGGAATATGATAAAAGATATTACAGGAGTATTCACAGTTAAACAGAGGAAATATGACGTATGGTTAATAGGTTTGTAGTGCAAAGAAAAATTATGTAGACTGTTAACCATTAAGAAGGTGCATGGAATTCTAAATAGGGGGCTAGACCAGAACCTTTTGTTAAAAATGCTTCATGTGACTATTAGAGCAATGAAGAAAATGGATTAGGTCCTTGTATAGTTTCCTTCACTGAAAATATTACTCGGATATGCCTGATAATGATGCAAGAAAATTTTCCCAAATTGGCCAGTGTTCAAGCACTTGCCTAGCTTTGTGCACACATAGTAAGTTATTTTTAGTAGAACAGGACATAGATGCATTTAATTGCCTTTAGGATTGGGTGACTGTCACCTATCTATGGCTGAAAGGATTGCTTCAGTTTTTAAATATGGGGTTGAAGAAATTGCTTTGGATACAAGTTAAGTTTAACCAGTCCACTGGGTTCTTGGATGAAAACAGAGCACTGTTCTGTAACTTACAGTGTTGTAGGCTTTGAAGAGTACAACTGAATTAAAAGGAAAAGTATAGGAGAAGTTGTAGAATAGAACATACCTCCTTTTCCATGTCAGTATTGATAATCCTAGTGAAATTCTTAAAACATGACAGTCAGTAATGCAGTGTGACTTGTTCAATATAAAAAAAAAATTCATTCTCAGCATAACCAGTTGCTTGTTTTGTGGCACAGTAATTGTCCATGGTTTTTATTGCAGTCATCACTGTTAAATTTGCTTTGTCTTTGAAATTGCTACCTTGGTAATTCAAAACAACTGTGTTGTGATTCATATCATAACAGGCATATCAGTCAGCTTTTCCTGATATCCCCATTGGCTATTCGGGGCATGAAACTGGTATAGCCATTTCAGTGGCAGCTGTTGCTATGGGTGCTAAAGTAGTGGAACGCCATGTGACTCTCGACAAAACATGGAAAGGAAGTGACCACCAAGCATCCCTGGAGCCAAATGAACTGGCAGAGTTAGTGAAAGCCATCCGTACTGTGGAAAAAGCAATGGGTTCTCCAGTCAAACAACTCTTGCCCTGTGAAATGGCTTGCAATGAAAAGGTAACTTTTGCTTTTGATACATGTATAGCTGAAACTCATTTAGACCTATAGCTAATAACTCTATATTCAGAAAAATAGAATTATAGAATCATTTAGGTTGGAAGAGACCCTTAAGGTCATCGAGTCCAACTGTTAACCTAGCATTGCCAAGTCCACCACTAAACCATGTCTCTAAGCACCCCATCTACATGTCTTTTAAATACCTCAAGGGATGGGGGCTCAACCACTTCCCTGGGCAGCCTGTTCCAATGCTTGATAACCCTTTCGGTGAAGAAATTTTTCCTAATAGCCAGTCTAAACCTCCCCTGGCACAACTTGAGGCCATTTGCTCTCGTTCTATATCGCTTGCTTTGGGAGAAGAGACTGACTCCCACCCTGCTACAACCTCCTTTCAGGTAGTTGTAGAGAGTGATAAGGTCTCCCCTAAGCCTCCTTTTTTTGGCTAAACAACCCCAGTTCCGATCCTCATAAGACTTGTGGTCTAGACCCTTCACCAGCTTTGTTGCCCTTCTTTGGATGCGCTCCAGCACCACAATGTCCTTCTTGTAGTGAGGGGCCCGAAACTGAACACGGTATTCAAGGTGCAGCCTCACCAGTGCCAAGTACAGGGCGACAAATCACTTCCCTAGTCCTGCTGGCCGCACTATGGCACTGCAGCCTCACCAGTGCTGAGTACAAAGTACTTGGTAATAGTAACAGGAGTAAATAGTAATAGGAGTAATAGGTCTCTATGACTGTATACAAACTGCTTTTACACTAAGCTAGAATACTAGTCAGTCTAATCAGATTCCCTCCATTCTGATTGTGAAGAATTCCAGTAAGCCATTATCTGATTTCAGAAAGGATCTGGATGTTCCCAGCAGCCTAGTTACAGTGAAGGTTTCCATGCTAACTTGACCTTCATTTGGAATAAGAAGTAATAGGGAGGGCAATTCCACACAACCTGTTCCCAAGTAACTGCAGAATATTTTTTAGCCTTTGGTATACTAAGCCTAGGAATGTGTTTCACAAACTTTTTTTTTTTAATTTCTCCCCTGTAGCTGGGAAAGTCTGTTGTGGCGAAAGTGACAATTCCTGAAGGTGCAGTACTGACACTTGACATGCTGACAGTGAAGGTGGGAGAGCCTAAGGGATTTCCTCCAGAAGCCATCTTTGATCTGGTGGGCCAGAAGGTTAAAAAAAAAATTGAAGAAGATGAAACCATCACTGAGCAAGCAGTGGAAAATCATGTCAAAAAAGTGAAGTGCTAAGCCAAAGCACTCCATTCCATATTTCATGATGTAGTACTGCACTACTGCACAATATATTTAAGTATAGCAGCATGGTAGATTAGAAGAAAGGGGTATAATTATGAGGATCTAAGCAGGTTAGAATTTTCAGGTTCTCATTAGCAGGAAGTTTTTACAGCAAGTGGGTATAAATTATGAAGAGCAGGTCTATTGGAAATCATATAGCATTGTGTCTAGAAAATATGCTCCCCCTTTCACCATTCCACTTAACCTAGATTAATTTGGAGTTTTGCCAAATTGAAGACCACAGTCTGCTGCTTTCCAGCTTCACTTTTCTGGTAAGAATACACGAAATTACAAAAATTTTGTCTATACTTTGAATTGTTCTAACACTGTATCTTTTGATGTTCCTCTCGTTTCTGCTGTTTCCTCACCCCCATGATAACAGGATGCTAGTTGGAGTTGCATGCAGATAAGTGAAAGTTTACATACACTGAACAGAAAACTATACATGCAACCTGATGGATTTTTCTCAAGATGAAAGCCGTAAGATAAAACGTCTCAAGATAAAGCAGTGGGTTGCAGGAATCTGCACTCTGGGGAAAATAAGCTCCTTGAGAAAGCTGGATTCTCAAGAGACAGTACCAAGAAAGGAAGCAAATTGGATATGTGGAAAGGCCCCATTTAAGGGGCAAGAGAAAGAGCCTTTTTGTACTTTTTGTGAACTGAAAGGCAAGAAGGCAAGCCAGACTTTAAGGGGGAGAAATAGATCTGAGCTCAATCAGTGGAAATAAATTTAACCTATGCTTCAAAAAAGTGTCAAAAGCATCTGTTGTGAGCTGAGTGAAGCCTGGAATCTGAAATCAATTCTGTAGTGCATTTGGATACCTCTTTGTACCTGGGGGCAACTTCTCAGGCAGGAAGTCAAATGCTGGTAAAGATTCAGCAGCCTCCTTCCTGTACTAACAAGAAAAAACATTGTGTTGTTTTCTGTTCAGCATGATGGTCAGTGGTCTTCTTGTGTGCTCTACTCTTGCATCACAGCTTCTCACTTTTCAAGTAAGAAATGCAATCCTACTACTATCAGCCTGCTGCTCTTCCCTTTGTCCAGGAAGGAACCATATCGTAGCTGCAAACCAGGCATCCCTCAATTAGCTTGGTTAGCACAGAACTGCTTTGGTATAATTCATCTGTATTTTTCTGTGGTGGAATCATTTACTAGTGATGGTTACTTGGAACATGCTACCTCTTGGTCATGAGATGGTGAAGTATCTTGAATTTGGTCGTGGTGTTTCTGTACCTGTGAGCTGTTTGGAAGGAGAGATTCTTTGAATCATGTGCTTGACCCTATGTGAGCTCTGATTGATGCAATATGCTTGCCTTACATTAAAAAACTACTCAATTGTTAAAAGTTTTTTTTTTTCATCTCAAATTTGAAAAATAAATTTACCTTATAAAACAAGCTATTGTTTTGGCATTTCAGCCTATGGTCAGACCTTGCCTTTGCCAGCACCGGTGATGATTCCAGGGCCTTCAGTATTTGAACCCCATAAGATTACCTGACCTGCTTCAAGTAGTAGTGGTTCTTCACTCCAGCAGGGCTGGTCCTAGAGGCTGCTGTAAAACTGAGCTCCAAAAGTTTCCAGGACTTTACTTAATGTATTGGGGAGAAAAAAAAAAAAGAAGAGTTATCCCTACACAGAAACTTGCAAGCTGTCTGTCCTAGTTTTATGTGAGCATACCTTTATCGAGCAGCAGTTAAAGAGCCTTTGCAAATTATACACGAAAATAAATTAAGCACAAGTGCCCCCCTGACCTAGTGTTTTTATTGCACCTGGGGCTCCTCCAGGCATTTAATCTTCTATTGGGGGTGGTACACAACTGTTTCTCATGCTTCCACTCTGTGCGGGAAGAACAGGGCCAGCCAGAAGCCCAGTTCAGAGTCTCTGTCACAAGTAAGACCAGCTAATGGCTATTAAGTGTGGTTACAGAAGCTCCTACTTCAGCTTTACTTGAAAGGACCTTTCCAACAGTTGGTGCCAGTCTTTGATTTTTCTGAGATGCTACTTAAGTATGAACTAATTAACTTAGTGTATTTATTATCCAAATCTGACCTTGTCAACTATAACACTGCAATATATGAACTTAAAGCTTGAACCAAACTAAACCTATTACCATACACAACTGCAGCCTCTCCAGGCAGAAGAGAGGAGGGAGTTCATTAAAAAATATGGCAATATCCAGGTTCAAATCTGAGTTGTAATATGCTTTTTTCAACCAGACTTTTTCCATTTTGCAAGTTGAAAAAAATATTTTATGTGGACTTTAGGTGATACATCAACATGATTTATAAAAGCTAGATCACTTTCCCCCATTGAAAAATGCATATACATTAAAAATTACAGTTGGTTTTCTTGAACCTTTGCTGTTTTATTTGAACCTTTACTAACCTTTCTGTTACATTCTAAAAGCATCACAGTTACAACTTATATATGACAGCGATAATAGCGTGTAGATCATTGCTAAAATGGCTTTCCTAGAAAACGTATGAAAAAGTAGGCTTTATTTTGCTTTATTCCTTATGTTAGTTTGCATATTCCAATGGAGCCTTCCCAGAGCCTCAAGGCTGGGTAAACTGGTTCTGTGAACTTGGAGCGGAAAGTGTGCAAATGAGCCATGCCATCAGTAACATTGTAGAATGAAAGGATTCCTGCTTCATAATCCAGAAAAATGCCAATGCGATCAGGATCATCTTCTATCAGGATGGGGATTCTCTCCCCCTTGTGAAATGCCCAGTATTCAAAATCAAACTTCTTCAGGCACCAAGATGCTCTATTCCAGCCCAGTCGACAGGTTTCAGAGTCTCCTTTCCTGCCAATGGAAGGGTAGGCTGCTCCAATCCACCATCCTGCTCCAGCATGAAGCAGGTCAACTTCCCAGTAATGGCTTCCAGAGAGGAATGCATCTCTGCTTAGCACTTGCCATAATTTATCGAATCTTTGGGGACCACAAGGGTAAAATATCCTCCTCCAGTTACAGCTTACTACAAGACGGTCATCAGACAATTTGAGCCTTGGGTGAAGGCTGTCATATTCCCAGGTTGGTGATCTTGCATCTGCAGTCAAAACCATAAACATACTTAGTACATTTATCATGATTCTTGAAAGAAGTCCAAGTTGTGAAAAAAGCTGCAAAGAAGCCCACAGCTGGCAGTGTCTTGGAACCTGCCCATTTTGCAAGGAAAAACCTGACATTTTTAATAGAAAACACTGCACTATTTATATGCACCGATGCTTTAAAGTTCCATAGACTTTAAAGCAGGTCAGTGTGTAAGTCAGTATATGCATGGTTCACAAATGAGAAGATGAATACAGCTGGATAGGGAACAAACACTGACAGCTTCTGCTTTATGGAGAATACTTGGAGACTTCTGGTGGGATTACAGCCCAAGGGTTTTAGAGAACACTGGAGCAGACTCTTGGGTTGTGAGATCCCATTCCACTGAAATCCCATTTGAAGATGCACTAGGAGTCTGCTTCTCACAGAGGCACCACAGCTCTGAGCAGCAGCATCGTGTACATTGCAAAGGAACAACTTACCAGCTCCCAGAGGATTTATAGCAGTTCACCTAACTTGACATTTAGAAAAGAAAAATCACAGTCTGAAACTACACCCTAGAAATCACTGTTTTACTCAGCAGCAGCTTAGAATATTTTTACCATGAAGCAGCTGACTGGAAATCACAAAGCCAGGAAAAAAACCAAACCATAATCAAATTAAACAAGTTTGAAATGACACAATCACACAGGACAGGTCAAAAAGCTACAGGATTTTTAAGATGAAATTCTCCTCTGAAGATACCGTCCTACAACTTCAATATTGAATTGCTGCATGTCTCACAAAACTTTTCATAATATACTCTCAGTAATTCACTGTTAGCATGTGTTTTCTGATTTCATGTTCTAGAAATAACCAAGATACTCCCTTTGAAAACAGGGTCTGGCATTCTTAAACAATCCCTTCACTCCTTTTTTCAAGCCTGATAAAACCAGTGTCAGAGTTAGGTACCTAAAAGAACATACATTGTCATGAATTACAGTACTGTCTAGAATACTGGCAATAAGATGTAAACTTAACTTGTATCTTAAAACTATTCCAAATAATGAGCACATCTATTTTTTCTTTTAAGTAAAGAATACAAAGTATAACAATACATCCAGACAAGAACTGAACAGCAGTATATTTGCAATAAGAACTGGCTGAGTCATATTTCACTCAGTTCATAGCTGTTTTTTTGACTGAATATGATTTTAATCTTAGTCTAGATAAACTTTGAAGCTTACACGTTTTAAATGCCAAACAACAAATACATTTAATATCCTGAAGCTGCTTTTCAGACTGTGTAAATTCCCTTTTAAATGAAAGTTAGAAAAACAAGTGTTTATAGTATTTTTAAATCCAGACTGCTTTGATTTCTCCACAGTGTTGTATATCTGAACTACATGTTTGGACCTGTGATCTCACAGAGCACTGTCTTTCACTGTGCTTTACAGGCAGCATAGTACTAAATGAACACAAAACAGGGGGCAACAGACCCATTCAAACAGGAACTTCAATATTCTTCTTGCTCTTTGGTGTTGAACTTAGAAATGAAAGGTAATTATACAGCAGGTTACTGTATTTGAATTAATACAGTTACAATTGAATTACAATTTTTTACACTCTACAATTGAATTAATTTGTTGCTCATTTGACTTTGTTGCTGTTTCCTTTCTTACGTTCTCACATAGAACCCTCTCCCATAAATTAAGTACATCTAGTCTGGGCTAGCTGGCATATTCCATAGTCTGAAGCCCAGAAGCTGTTTTCATTCTGGCTGGAACACTCCCCTTTGCCATCAGAGCAATGCATAAACCACTCCATTCTCTGTTAGTCCTCTGTTACTTTCCCACAATTTCCTACCATGAGTAGGGAAGGCTAAGTAAAGTCTCCCACAACTCACTGTGAAGGAGCACAAACATCTTGCATTAAGTGAGGGTCCATTCACCGCACAGTTAATTGCAACAAGACTTACCCTCTATATTCGTTTGTAATGTTTCAGAAAAGAAAGTAGTACACATGCATTATGACTATAAGATACAGCTGGACCCCACATCTCCTTGCCTTGCTGTGGCCCCTAACATCAGCTATGTTTAAAATACAGGAACCAGTTACAGACCATTATCAGTTGTTC